ATAAGGAACAGGAACAATGAACTCCCCCACATCCAGATCACCAATGGATCGTGACAGACACAAGCCTCCAGGCCAACACCTCAAAGGACCAATCTACAAGGAAAAGTCATCCAAATTAGTTTGTGCATTTCAAGATTAATCTTATCAACATCAGGGTCCTACATATATTCAACCTATCCTTACGCACAGTTGTCTCATCCACCAGGATTTAATATGCCTTTCTTCATTTCTTAATTTGTGTTTGTACAGAAAACTTCATGAACAATACACTTAAGTACGGCATGAAGAAAAGTTACCTCTGCTCCACCACCAGTATTAAGCCGACCAACCTCGCCCCCACTTGAGGTGATACGCTGCCTCCTATTAAATTAGTTGGAGGGTTAATAAAGGTTACAGATTATTAAGTGAGTCACAAAACACATTATACAGATAACTTACTCCTCTTCATTGATTTCAAGCCTATGATCTGCTGATAAATAATAAACTCCACCTTCAGCAGGTTCAACTATGCAACGAGAATCGCCAACAGATGCAACGGATATGACCCATCCTTCTATAATCACAAATGTGACAGTTGTTCCTGACGTTTTAGCTGAAAGATGGCAATAAAATTCATGAAATCATGCACACAACAAAACAAGAAATTAACTATTATACTGAAACTCATAAAAATTACAAAATCAAATATACAACCGGTAACCCTCAAATACAACAATTAACTTATCCGTTGATATCCTTAGGCATGCACGATCTCCAAAATGGACGAAAACATTTTATAACAAACATATAAACAAGAAAAACACATACCCACATTTTTAAGGATCTCATATACATTGCATGTGCATGTGTTGAGAGTTTTAAGTTAGGGTAAGTTAGGCTAAGGAAGTGAAAAATAGACATGGGGATTGAGTGGCTGTACAACTGGAGCTATAATTCCCCACATATAAGTAGCATGAGGCTATGATATGTTTGCAAGTCAACAGAAGACACAGCTCTCATACCAAAATGAACTTATACAGGTGCTAGTAAATGTAGTATAAACCATAAAGCTAGGACCCTAAATTCTCAGCTTAAATAATTTTGGGTGAACTCAGGCAAACTCTACAGTACACTAAACCATTTGACAGTTATAAGAAGGGAAAAAAACAGCATATAGGCATACAGTTAACTTATTTTATATAAACCAAAATATGATTAGTATGCAGTATAGGTTGGTTATATGAGCAATTTCACACAGAGCGTGGATTTGAGATGCTTTCTCAAACAAGGGATAATATTATGCATCTCCCCTTATGACCCAGGCACAACCAAACCATCTACTTAATAACTCTAGTTTCAATCGCATGCATATGTTACAAAGGTAATCCAGTTTCAAACTGTACAAAAAAAAACCCACATACCAACATATATGATAGGAATTTTACCATAGGAAAAACCATTAAGAGTTGGTCAATAGACTCAATACTCAATATTAAGGTAAAGCAAGAGCTAAAAGTAAAAACAGATTAAAATTATCGATACCTCTCTCTTGGAATTCTTTGTCTGTCTTGACGAAGCCTGCTACAAAAGCCCTTGGCAATGCTGCTACCCATTCATCTCTGTTTAGATCTGAAGGGATAGCGGCCAAAACATTATTCAGAAGATTCTCCTTAGAGTAGATAGCGGCTGCTGACCCGTTATGCCCATCAAATAGCTGCAAGACATGGATCAGTAAGAATGTAGCCATGCTAAACAATGGTCCCCATAGTCTTGATGGAATATGAAAAAAGGAATAAAAACACGTTCCTCAGATTAGGAAGAAGCAAAGGGGACAGCAAATTTTTACAATCTACTACCAATAACTGTTTTGGCAGACCTATCAGCGTGATCCTAATAAAGGCTAATTAGAACTTGGGTTTTTTTTTATCAAACATGGGCACAAGTTTGAAATTCCCAGCATGACCGCCACATCCTTGCACACATGGCTAGCTGAACCATCACAGCAGTAACTACATACTCAAATACATCTAGTTTATGTAAATACTATGCATCTTAATTACCAAAAGATCATATACCAAAACAAAAAGAAGGAAACCATGAACAAACATACACCCAAAACTAGGTGACTGACATTTCTAAGCATAGCATTTAGTCAAAAAGTTTACCCCTTTGATGAACATCAAATTAAGTTCTTAGCTATTTCTACATTTTCTTCAATACAAATGGTCTACAATGCCAAAACAGAAAGAAAAATACCCCGAAAACTGAATACGTAGAAACTCCATCTCCCACAATTCTTTGACATTCCGTCTTTATCAACGTGAAATCCTCTCCTTTCTTGCTCTGACTCGCCTGACCGTGTATAAGCTCCGGTCTCTCAATCTTCTCATTGGCCAATTCACGCTTGAGCAGCACCGAAAGCGGAACCGTCTGATGATTTTCGCTCTTGGTGGACATTGTTCCCCAAACTCAAACACCTCAACACAGTCTCTCTCTCTCTCTCTCTCTCCTTTTCTTTCTCCCTCCTCCTCCTCCTCCTACCTCTAATCCTCCACCGCCGATTCTCAATCCAAATTCTGCAAACAAAGCAAAAACCAGCACATACGTGCGTCAATCAAACGCACCGTTTCACGCATTTTCCAATCTAACCATAAATCTATATCCTTTCCAAAAAACAAAAAAAAAAATCGTTGATATCAGAAGCTAAAACGGCAACAAATCACCGAGATCTTCAAACGAATCGGACGACTTTCATCGTCTTAAAAGCCGTAAATTTTGTTAACAAATGCACAGAAATCGCAATGCGGAACACGAATCCGAGAAAAGGAGAAGAAAAAGTACCGGAAGAGTGGGACCGATCAGCAAAAACAGCAATGGCGATTACGCGGGAAGGAGACGAGGGCAAGGTGCGGCGTATGCGACTGCGGTGGCGGGTTGGCGTGATCGAGAAACGCGGATCCCGGCGCACTATGAAAATTCCATTCTCCTTCGAGAGAGCGAATAATGAGATGACAAAGCGCAAATGGAGCTGTTCTTCTCGCTTTCTTTCTTCTTTTAACAAAAACAAAATTAAAAGAAATAAAATTAAGAAAAATAAAATTAGATAGAATAATTTATCAATTAAGTAATTATTTCCTGGCGCTGACCTGGCAGGAAATCGCGTCATTTCTTACATTCGGCGCTTGGAGCCCCCTTTTTTACGCGCCGTTTGGCTTGTACGGCGCGCAAGAGCCAAGAGCGAAAAGGATGTGTCTCTCGCCCTCTAGTTCTGTGTGGGCCCACGAGGGATGGTGGGCTCCAGTGGGGCCTTGATTGTGAGGAATCTGATGTGGTCGACTAATTAAGACAAATTATGTGATTTATTTACTTTTAATTTTATTTTTCTTCTTAGCAACCTCAGGAGGACCCAGTCAAGCAAAATAATCCCCCACAAAACACTAATCACAAAGATAAAAATCTTCCACAATGATCGTTTTAGCCGGTTAGTGTAATTAATGGTATTTTTAATTACTTATTAAAGCATCTTTATCCGTTAGTGGAAGGTAAAAACCAAGTCAACAATGTTGCTCTCAAGCAGTCCAATAAGGCAAGGGCAAGTAGTGGGCTAACCACTGCCCACCCAAAAGCCAGAGTTGGAGAAGGCCAGCCTTGGTTTTAGGTGGCATTTGATTTCTAGAAGCAATGAAACCATGAATTACTATTTGAAAAATGCTTTGGAGAGTTGGAGACTCTCTCAAAAGTAAGATTTTCTATGAATCATCTGTCACGTCATGTTTTTAACACAACTATTAATAATATTGGTACAAAAATTAACGTTATATTATGAGGTGACAAAAACTCAATCGAAATTTCTACTCTGATAAAGTTTCCTTAGCAATTCTCTTATCTTTGTTTTCACTTTTTTCTTATCAAAGTATCCACAAAGTTGAGAAATAATGATTAACCATTTTTTCGTTTCAGCTCAATGATAAAGATCAATCGTAACACAACGTTAAGGTCACGACTCACGTAGTTAGACTCGGAAGATTATGATTAAAAAATTGTGGGACCCGTTGGTATGGGGGGACCCACAGGCAGATTTATTTGGGCCAATATTTTTCGCTTGAAAAAGACCTAACCCCTCTTGTCCAGTCCTCCACCTGGAGAGTCCGGAATTCTCGGCGCCAGTTAATTAATCAGTCACGCTAATAAATAAATTACTTTCTATTTTATTTTAATAAATGATCGGCTCAAAAGTTCGAACAGCTTGGGATTCCAGGTGGCTCATTCGGCTTCGTACAATAGATCCGGCTGTACAGGAGCGCAGATCTATCCTTCACACATGTCACGCAGACGCAGAAGCATGTTCTATTTATTTGCTTTTTTTACATGCAGGATTTTTTTTTTAATAAATTAACGGGTTAAATTGTTACGTGTTATGATGATGATTGATGAAGTTGAATTCGCATTGAATTGCGTAGATATTATTATTTTTTGCAACTTCAATAAAGTGTCATCTACCTTAAACTGAAAATAGCTCAAAGCTTTTTTGCCTAGCAAATTAAATAAGAACAACAACTGATTTCCACTTGGTTTAGTTTATGGTCACAACCAATAAACTAAGAATATTTTGAAGAAATATTGCAAAAAATAAAATAAAAAAGTAAATTGGTTTTTGTTGCCAAATAGTCTCGTTTTGAAGGAAAATCTCTAGACCCAGCGGTTATTGCACTCAGTCACAATCACATTTAGATGAGCGATTTTCTCTGTGGTTTTAATTGAGTAGTGATTCTCACTTATATTATCAGTCAAGAAGGTTATACTAAGAAAATTTATTTCCACATGCACATTTTTTTTCACTACACACTATTGTTTATTTCTCACATTTAAACTGATTAAAAAATGTCGTACCCAGTGCACAAGGCTCTCGCTTTACGCAAGGTTTGGAAGAGGTGAATGTCACATTTAAACTGATTAAAGCAGAAGAAAAAAAATTCAAAAACATGCACAAACAAGATATAAGAGAATAAAAACAGCGTGCATAAATCATTCTCGTAAAGTAAATTGGCAATGAAGTCAATGGCTTGAATTGATTGCCATTTGCCATGGCAAAAGTTTTCAGTCTCTGAAAGCCACATGCCCATAACATAACATGCGCAATCTAGCTGTCTTTCTTTATCAAGTATTGTTATATATATATATATCTATATATATATATATATAGGGAATAAAAGATAAGAATAAGCTCCTGTCCATTCATAATTTGCTCATCAACGGAGTTCATATATATATATATATATATATATATATCTGTTGCTGGACACCAGATATGATTGCAGATGATTGACTCATCCCCTAAAACATTCACCTTTCTAGCAGCAAATGGAACTTGTTGCAAAATATACATATAAAACTCTCTACATTCCAATCCCCCAACTCTTGTTCCTGCAAAAAAGTAAAGGTGTTGTATGAGAGAGAGAGAGAGAGAGAGGGGGGGGGGAAGTTTTTTATGTTTAACTAACGGGATTAGAAATGTACACAGAAATGGATATCTAAGAAGATCGAGAGTATAAGGAAAGAATCTATTTTGTAACCGGTTGTATGTCTATTTTTGTCAATATCTTGTTACTAAATAAGAAGCGTAAACATAAGTATACATATCCGCGATACGAATGTCTAAGAGATAAGAGACATATAAACCATAATAAATTGATTAACTTGCGTGAGGGCAACTTTGTTTTGTTGGAGTTGCATCACATTACGTCAGTCAAGCCAATAGTAGGCCACATGGTTTCTATATAAACAGAGACAGTTGCATCAGATTGTGGTCACAGTTGCATCACATTTGTGGTCCTTTCGCATATGCAACTTGTTTCATTTATATGATGTACTAACTGCCCTCTCCATCCGGTGTTCCTATAAAGACATGACAAATGACCAAAAGATTACTTGGATTTTATTGCACGTGTATCTATTTGTTAAACCCTACGCTGCATCAACTCACATCATTTAAATTAACGATTTTACTGACCAAATAAGCCTCACTACTCTACCGTTAGGCAAATGAAATGTCAATTATATTGTCTAATCATATTATAACTCGTAGATAGTATATTATAAACGCTTGAATCAGTAAATTCGACCGCAACTGGAGTGGCTAGAAGCAATTACCTAAGTTGATTCTTCTGAGCTTGCCTGCCCAGGTCTCTCCACCCTTATAATGTACACCTGAAAAGATCATACAAGTACATTATGCTTCAAATGATAACTAATCTAAAATTCAAGTGCAAAACACTAGGGGCTTGATTGGTACTCTACTTGAATCCAACTTTTTAAACTCAAAAATAATTTTTAAGTGTTAGGCCTTAAAAACTTGTTTTGTATAATTATTTTAAAAAATTGAACTCAAGACTAACTAAAAAATATAGTCCATTTTCTAAAAACATAAAAAGTGAGTTTTTAGAGTTTTTAAATTTAAATTCACTCATTTATTTTCTCTCCATCCTCCCCTCTCACTCCAAATCTATCTCTCTCTATTTTCTTATTTCTCTCTCCTCTTTCTCCCTCTCCTGCGACCCTCTTTTTAGATTTTTTTGTATAGTTTAAGTCGTAAGATTTAAAAATTTTAAATTAAAAACCAATCAAGTTTTTTAATCTTAAAAAAAATTGTTTTCAATAAATATTCTTACAAAATGTTTTGAGAAATGATAAAAATTTTCAAATAGGATACCAAACAGACTCTAAAGTTTTTGTGCAGCTTTAGCAATCACCTTGAATGTTGTTGGCCGTATCAATTGAAAAACCAATGCATCTCCATCCACAAGATCATGAGCAACTGCAAATCCTTTCCATCCGCCGCTGAGTCCAGTTTTCCGGGCCAAGTATATAGTCGGGTACTCGGCTCCAACTTCATCGATCAATGTCATAATTTCTTCACCCTTTGGGAGGTGGTTCTTGCAGAAGCTGACTTGAAGACCCTGTTGCCAAAATTACACAAGATATGATTGCAACTGCATACACAATATGAAACAGCACACTGGACAGATACTAATTAAGCATGTGAATTTGACAGCACATTGCTACATTGTCCAGCGACGGCTCTAATCTTTGAGATTTGAGAGAGACGGACTAGCGTTTCACTAGTCACACCAACTTAATCATATGCACAGTGCAACGGGTGAGCGGTTTTATACAAAAATTCGAGGATGCAATATTAGTGAAACCGTTCATTTTACGTCGTATTTTATTTTGTCAGGTTTTGTGATGTGAGACTTTACATTCTTCTAACTTATAAAACACAAATAAAATGAAACATGTTGTCCAAAAGATGAGAATAATGTTTACCAGCCAGAATCCACCAGTGACATGTGATTGGAGCATTGTCTTCACAAATGTCGGGTGATCGGATCCCAAACTGAGCTCCAATTCGTCGGCTTTCACCATCGCGGCGGCTCTGGCTTCGTCGGAAGCATACACCCGGTTCGCCATATCCCTATGCCGATTGGTGGCGTAGCACCTTCTTGGAATCATTACTCGCTCCGCCACAACCTGTCACAAATCATAACAACACAAAAGATTGAAACTTTACGTATTAAAAAAAATAAAAAGATTGAAACTTTGAGCAAGTTAAAATGACCCACTTCTTTGTAATCGGGTGCAGGTCGATTTGCAACCCGGGTGGACCTCCTCACCTCCACCATCTGCACCTCGTACGTGCGAGGTTTCCCCCCGCGCTTCATCTGAAAATACAAGAGAAATAGGCAGAATGTGAGGTGTGTTTATATGTGTCTGTGTATATATAGATAGATAGAGAGAGAGAGAGAGAGAGAGAGAGAGGGATTTTATTTTAGGCTTACAGGGGAAGGTTTGGGAGAATTTGGGGTTTTTTTAAGAGCTTGAGCAAGCAGAGGGAGATTGAGAGCTTCCATTCTCTTCTTGTTTTCCTCCATTCTCTGCCGGCGAGACTCCTCGTAAGACAACTTAGACTTGGCCATCACCATTTTCCCGAGAACCAAACAGAAAATTCTCAGACTGTCTCTGTTTCGCTCTCTGTTTCTTTAGGGTTTTGGGTGGAAAGAAGGAAGTGAAATGGTGGCAAAAGTTTGAATATTTAAAAGAGTCGTTGCTAGTCGACCGTTGAGTTCCCACTGCATTGAGAAATGGTCTGCACCCACCCAGCAGTAACTCTTTGTTTTCACTTCCATAAATATTGCTATTAAAATGGGACATTCATGCACGCAGCTTTTCAAATTCAAACTTCCAAATTTACCATCGGTCTAGTAACTTGTAAATCGGGTGAAATGTAGCAGCATTGTCACAGTCCACGCTATTATAGGGTCGCATGTAATTAAATTGAAATACTAACACAGTGATATCTAAACCTACGTAAATTTATCCAGTTGCCAGAGTCAAACAATTGAGGGTTTTAGTTTAATCGTCGTTTTTTGCTTGTCCATGTTAAAGAAATGAATGCGTGAAGCGAATTGATTGTATTGATTGCCATTTTTCACGGAGAAGTTTTAAGTTCTTAGTTTATGAAATATAGAGCAGAGAATCGGGAAAGATAAGAATAAATCGGATGTTCATTCATATTTGCTTGTGGGTTTTTCATATAGGTCTAAAGGGACACCAGAGAACATTCAAAAATATGATTGCAGATGATTGCTTCATCCGCTAACCCTACAAGGCTCCATTGGTAGTTTCTATTACACGAAACATGTAATTTTCTCGGAACAAATAAAGCTCATCGCTTAACGGATGGTCTGTCCAAAATCCTTTTTACCTGCAATAGTAAGTAAAAGAGCAATGTGAGAGAGAAGACAAGAGAATTAAGAGAACAAAATCGCTTGAATTCTAATGAGGTAAAAATTTCTAGCTTAATGGTTGCATATGAAGAAGCAACTCTAAAACTAGCTGACAGTTCATTAAATCACAGCTGTGTAGGCTTTCTATGTATATGGTCAACTAACCTATCTCAATCTCGCAGCAGAACAAACGTTGGGCTTGATATGTTGAAGAACTTGGGAACCCATAAGCAAAAGAGTAAATGTATGACTTGGTCAAGAGGCTACGTATGAAATGTGCATTAACAAACCGTAGAAAATATCACTAGCGGTCTTAAAGGACGACGAAGCGGTAGAAATCAGATGATATACTGTTCTTCCATTTGTCAATGCATAGCTGAAAAGGCAAGAGAGAAACAATACTTGAACTTTACCTCGACGACAACTATCACAAAAAACCCACCAACATTGGAATAGTTAAAGCTTGTAGCCCTATTCAGCTCTTTCCACCCTTAAAATGTACACCTGAAACAACAATCCGAGTACATGAAACAAAAAAAAACTGAAAGCGGAAAGCAAAATGATAGGATGATCTCATACAGAAAATAGTATTATGTAGGGCAGTTATCTAGTTTAATTAAATGGTATCTATTGAAGGTAATATACTTATTTGGAGCTTAACAAATAATCAGCCTCATTTAACCAAACCAATTGTGAAATACTAAAACTTTTAAGCAGAAACTTGTAAACAGTTGTAATTTTAGTTCAACTTTGTCAAGAAACTTGTAACCAAACCTTGAGCGTTTTAGGCCGAATTAGTTGAAAGACCAATGCATCCCCATCCACCAAATCATGATCAATTGCAAACCCTCTCCATCCACCACTGAGTCCTCTTTTCTCAGCCAAGTATATAACCTCGCACTCGTTCCCATCTTCATCTATCAAAATCACAATATCATCACGCTTCGGGAGGTTCTTACTGCAGAAATATTTCGGAAGACCCTGTTGCAGTTTGCATGCATTAAACAGAATGAGTGCAAGTATGCCTATACTGGTGTATGAAATTGACCGTTCCTTCATACACATTATGAAGCAGGATACTGGAGATAATTGATAATACAAGTAGGCCTCGTTTGGTGGATAAGGCTGAAATGGATAACCCACTATACTCAAGCTATATTGAAAGAAGAATTGCAAAAATTGTGTCCAACTTGAAGGCAGAAGATGGATTACTCATTAAGGAAACTTATCCATACTAATCCCACCAAAATGGTAGGATTGAGCAAAAGAAAAACAGTTCACCTCTACCTTCAATAAAAAGGTCGTACCCAATGCACAAGGCTCCCGCTTTACGCAGGGTCTGGGAGAGGTGAATGTCGGCTAGCCTTACCCCCATTTATGGAGAGGCTGCTCCTAAGTCTCGAACCCGAGACCTACCGCTCATGGACGAAGGCACTTGCCATCGCACCTATTTTCTCGGTACCTTCAATATACCGAGAAAATAGTGGGTTATCCATTTCACTCAAACCCTAGAGCAAAAGAAAGAACAAATCGGTTCTTAAATTAGTTACGGAGCATATACAAGATAACGGAAATTACAGCCTTAATGAATAAAAAGTTCATAAATTTTTTAACAACCAACAAGCATATAGAATTCGGAAGTAACGTAGGATGAAAATGTGACATTTTGAGCACAAAAAGCAGATTTATTTACCAGCCAGAATCCACCAGTGACATGGGATTGCAGCATCGGTTTCACCATGGTCGGGTAATCGGATCCCAAATCGGACTCAAATGCCTCAGCTCTCGCAGTGGCGTCATCTCTGGCTTCATCGGAAGCATAAACCCGGTTTGACAAATCCCTATGTCTATTAGTAGAATACCTTCTGGGCCTCATCTCCCGATCCACCACAGCCTGCCACAAACCACAAAATCACTAAAGCTTTCAACTTTCCAATTCGAAAAACAAAATAAAAGAAGCACATGAGCATTCAGATGAAAAACAAAGGGACCTACCACTTCTTTGTAAACCGGGGTCGGAAGATTTGCGACCCGGGAGGACCTCCTCACCTCCACGAGCTGCTTCTCCACCGTGCGGGCCTTCGCGCGCTTCATCTGCGAAGAAAAGAGAAAACAAGAGTCAGAGCTGATTTTTTTGGTGAGAGAAGGAGGGGTTTAGGGGATTACAGGGGAGGGTTTTGGGGAATTTGGGGTTTTCTTAAGAGCTTGAGCAAGCATAGGCAGATTGAGAGCTTCCATTCTCTTTTTGTTTTCCTCCATTCGCTGCCGGCGAGACTCCTCGTACGATAACTTGGGCGCCACCATTTTTTTCCCGAGAAACAAACAGAAAATTTTCTTGTGCTTTCTCTCTCTGTAATTTTGGGCGAAAGAAGGAAGGAAAATGGTGGCAAAGTGTAAATTTGAAAACCCCGGTGCTAGTGGACTGCTAAGTTCCCCTCTACGTTGAGTAATTGATGCGTCACAGGCATGCTGATTGGTCAGCAATCAACTGTGGGTTTAATGAGTCCCAATCTTCTGTTTCCCAAATCACTCTGCCCACCCTCCGCCGGCACTGTGGTTGCGACAAGTGTCCCATGATTAACTACAACACATGGTGGCTCAAGCCCTAGAGTTTCTTCCGAGTGCAAAATTTTATTAGCAAGACTAATGTACTATTAGTAGTGATTAGCGAACCACACAACCCTAACAGTTCGAGTTCAATATTATTGGATTCTACTAATAATACTAGTGATTAGCGAACCACATAACCTTAACAATACGGGTTCAATAATATTGGGTTCTACTAATAATATAATTATCGAGGTTGCGTGGCTCGCTAATCACTCCTTGACATGTTTAACTAGTCCGGTCAATATATACATGGAAGACAATTCGATTTGGGTTCAGGCTGGCGCCACGCTCGGAGAATTGTACTATTGGATTTTGAAGACGAGGAAAGTCCACGGCTTTCCGACCCGTATTTGCCCCACGGTTGGTGTTGGCGGGCACATAAGCGGTGGTGGATATGGAAACATGTTGAGGAAGTACATCCTGGCTGTCAACAATGTCATTGATGATCGGACAGTTGATGTCAAGGGAAGGTTGGAGTTGCTGTGGGAAGATGGTTGAAATAGGCAAAATAGGGTTGGTTTTCAATCCGTACACCGTGCCGGGAACTAGTTCAAAGTTCAGTACTCGGTGAGTTGGAGGGGAAGCAAGGTACGAAGCAGAGATGACTTGCACAAACGGAAATCAGGTTTCAGATTCATGACCCCATGAGTGTCCAAGAACCGTAGAAGTGCTTTCTTGAACTACAGGGACCTTGAATTTGGTGTGAATAGATTTGGAAACAATAGCTATGAACAAGTGAAGGTGAAGACCGCCGTCGATCCAGAAAGTTTCTTCCAGAACAAGCAGATCATCCCAAGTCTTCCAAACTCCCGCTCTGAATGGTATGAACTGAGCTCAAACAATCTAAAAACGAGTCGAACTCAAACTGCATTGATACTCTATCGCCACCGTCACAAAATAAGGTTCACCATTTCTGCTTGTGTATGGATTAGAAGAAAAGTTAACACACAAATCAAAAACACCAACTTGATATCAACACATTGTTGCATAGCACCACATTCTGTTCTACCGGAAAATTTCACTAGTTAACAACATAAAGTTTATAGGATTAGTATTTGATCAAACCCAAGCTATTGAGCCATGGCAACACCTCCCCCAATCCTTCTTTCAATCCCCTAGGACTGTAACCCAGCTCGGCCTTCGCCTTCTCGCACGAATACGCCCACTGATGCCTCAGAACATAAACAGTCTGCACCCACATAAAAACCACACAACAAAATCAGCACCCAAAATTCAAGCATGTACAGAAATTCTCTGTGTAGGACGTCCAGATGCACATTAATAGCATCGAAATATAAAAAAATGTTCACAACATGGTATTATGTTTCGTTAGTGACAATAATATCGACACATTATTGATGCCATATAGACAAAAAAAACTCACCGGAGGACTAATCAGGGGAAGCTTCCCTGTAACCCGAGAGAAAAGAACAGACGCCCATCCGTACACCTCGATCAGCCACAATGGGATCCCAAATTTCGGCCTACCGGTTTGTGTGATCACGGCCGCCACATCGAAAACGTGCTTAAACGATGCGTTTTCGCCTGTCAGCAGATACCTCTCACCTGTTCGACCTTTTGCCATTGCTCTGATATGGCCCTCTACGACGTCGTCCACATGGCTAAACGAATACCTGTCGTTCCCGGAGCCAATGTACCCCGGCAACCGGCCGTTGAACCGCTCGACGATCAACCGAGCGACGACGTTGCCGGCTGTGAGTTTTCCGGGGCCGTAGATGACTCCGGGATAAAGCAGCACCAACGGCAGCTCCTCTTGCTGCGCGGCTCGCAGCGCAATTTTATCGGCGGCGGCTTTCGATCTCTCGTACTCCGTGCAGAAGAACTTCTCGTGATGGACCTGCGTCTCGTCAGCGACGCCGCCGTCGGTTGATCCGAGCGCGAAAAACGACGACGTGTAGATGATTTTCTGTACGGTCTTCGTCTCCCGGACCGCTCGCAGCACGTTCTTCATTCCCCCGACGTTGACCTAACGGAATCGGAAGTCAAAATTGACCTAATTTTAAGAGTCGAATTCGCAAAAAGATGAATTTTTTTAATTCAATTTAGGGTTTTGGGGATTTGTGAGCTTACGGAGAAGAATTTGGAGGGGTCGGGAAGCCAGGGCTCCACGACGGCGGCGGCGTGGAAAACGACGTCGCAGTTGGAGAAGGCGGAGAGGAGGGATTCGTAGTCAGTGACGTCGCCGTAGACAAGCTCGAGGGAAGCGTTACCGGTGGATGACGGTGGAGGAAGGGAGGAGAGGTCGCTGGTGGGGCGGACGAGGGCGCGGACGGAGTGGCCTTGCTTCAGTAGCGCGTGGCATAATCTTCCGCCTAAGTAACCGGAGGCGCCGGTGACGAGTATCTTCATGTCTGATTAAAGTGATCGTCTGCCGTGTGTCCCAGGTGAAGAGATTACTGTTATTTTGACTTTTGAAGAAGAGTTGGTTGATTCCAGTTCAAGGAAGTTAAAATATTATTTTCCCATTCATTATTATTTCTAAAATAACCTTTAATATATACTTTAATATATACGTACATATGAAATTATAAAATTGTCTTTTAAAAAATAGAACAAATAATATGTAAATGAAAATCATTAATGTCTGCAAATTCAAATAGAAACGACAAAGGTATCCAAATTCAAAAGAATTCGACAACAATAAATTTTAAAATACGATGGACAAATTCAAATGACCTACACACAAATTATTCTTCTACATTTTCAATGAAAATATAATCTTCTACTTCTTCCGTAAAAGAGTCATCTTCTACATGTTCAATGAAAAAGTTATATTCTAAGTCCATTGCTATTTTTTTTACTTTCTCTTAATAAAAGGAGATGAAAATATGAGTTAGGGTTTAAGGTCAACAAATTGTCTCCCAATTAAGCAAAACAAGATAATTAATGTCCTTACAAGTCTTTTTGTAAATGGACAAATTTGTAATTAAAAAATTCATTAAAAGATGATTGGGAATATAAGACATTGAGGTGAGCAAAACAAGATAATTAATGTCCTTACAAGTCTTTTTGTAAATGGACAAATTTGTAATTAAAAAATTCATTAAAAGATGAGTGGGAATATAAGACATTGAGGTGAGAATAACATCACTCTTTCTTTATATTATCTTTTTGTTTTACTGAAAATTGCATTTGTGGAGCCAAAAATAATCAAAAGGCGACACGTGGATCTTTGGGTTAAAATGACAAAATTACCCTCGAAGCATACCGGGATGCCTACTCGCGAGCAGCGGGCAATCAACCCTCAACCAAGTTAAAAGTGCCCAAAATAGGTAATAATTCAAAACTTATTTCATTCATCCTCATCAAATCCTATCCACAAGGTAACTCCCAAATCATTCCCCTTTTATTATATTAATTAGCTAATCAATTAAGAAATTATTATATTAATTAGCTAATTAATCAATTATTCCTAATTAAACACAAATCAAGAACCTAGCCCACAAAATGAATCAGGTGGCCGGTCCTTTCTCTCCCAAAGTGGCCAACCACAACCTTATAAAAACCTCATCATTCTCTCCAAAATTCAATTTTAATTCTCTTGCTAAATTCTCAAAATTTTCCAAACATTTTTTTCTCTCTAAATTCTAACTTTGGCATCGGAGGTTCTTCAGCCAAAACCCCCTCATTCATCGTGGGCGCGTGAGGCTCTTGGCCTTGAACTAAGGTGTTATTTGTTTTATAGGTGCAATTTTGTTTAAGAACAAGTAGGAAGAAATTTGCATCCACAAATTGGTGATTTCATTAAGAGTTGAGTCCCACACTCGTAAAAGACTCTCGCATCCAAGAGATGAGAACGCGGCGATCCACGAGGCTAAATGTGACAATAAGTGGAGTGGCACCACCCCCACGAGTTTCCATCACGGGAACCACCACGGTGGCTACCACGCGCAGCGAGGTCCATGATGTCATCACCACGGTCCGAGCCGTGCCATCTAAGGCCCATGGCACCAAGGTCACAGCCCAAGCTAAGTCACTTCAGGCCCAACGTGAGCCCAATGCGTTGCCAAGCCAAGCCCAAGCCTCGCACCCGCGTGCGCCATATGCCGATCAGCCCACTCTAGTGGCCCAACCTGCTCCCGCAGAGCAGCCCACTCTCGCGGCCTAGCCTGCTCTCGCCGAGCAGCCCACACATGTGGCCTTCCAAGTAGCCTAAATCGGTCCAAGATTAGTTCAACCAATCCGACTTTAAATTTCCGGACCAACGATCGAACCGGGAGCATTTTCACCATATTTTTCTACGGATTTGACATTTCCCAACTCAAATCTCGCATCCGGAGTCTACCACACTTTCACTGCTCAATGAGATACATTCCTTCCAAGCTTTTCCAACCCAAATAAAGAACAACACTTGTTTCGACAAGTTATAAAGTTGACGAGTGCCCTCGCATAGCAGATGACCTCGGTGAATCAGCTCTTGCAGCGCATCGATATGCAATGTGCCCCTAACGAGGTGTCCCGAAGTAAGACAATGGCAGACGAAGAATCTCTCCAGTAGCATCCCAGCAAGTAGCTACTTAACCAGTCACAAACCGAGCGTTCTAATAGAGTACACTTCCGACTGGTCCCTTGAGATAGTGTATACTCCTATCTTAGCGCGTGGAGGAGCGTGCATTCTCAGTTAGGTCCACGGATAAACATACACTCACGGTTGGGCCCACATTCTGATAATTAACATGAATAACCTTCCAGGCGAAATGTTCATTCGCGGCAAGGCTGGTAAAGAGCATCATCCACCTCACATCAAAGTACGCAGCACAGCGGACGGAGAGAATCAGTCACTCAATCTGACTCAAGTTCAACCAGTAGCCTGCAAGTTACCTGCTTGCCTGCTAGGAACATACCATATGCATCGCAGCCGCGCCGTAGATGAGCCAAACACATGGATGAGTAGCCTAGACCAGCAGGTCACAACCGGGGGCAGCCAAAAGCTCTGCCACCCCCAATAAAGGCAAATTTAAGAAGAAATAGAAAGGCTCTTGACCGAGCGATTACTCGATTTCCCGTGCAACGAAGCTATTGACAAAGCGTTCTGATGAGACATGACTAATATAGTGAGTCATCTTTCAATGACAAGATCGAGCAGACGAGACTACCCCACATAGATTGCCGATACAAAGACTACTTCTATTTCGACAAACACAGCAGCTCAGCCTAATGGCGCGCTGGGGGCAGATGAGTACCAGAATGACATATCAGCCCAACTATTAAGAACCGAGGGCAAACCTTGTTCTCAACACTCCAGATAATTCAATACTGAAGCAACACATCATCAATAGCTGAGTATCACGAACCTAGTGGTCCTATTCCTCCTACTGTGCACAACCTGGCCCAAGCCTTGCTTTCACAGCCGTGCCTACTTGCTCCACGACTCCCGGCGGCCATTGACCTATCATTATGACTCATAATTGTGCCAATCTTACACCACGACTCCCAACCATGCCGATTTTTCCATGTTGTTTACGTCAACCAAGCCTCAAAGGGGCACACGATAAAACACCTAATGATGGCGCAATAATTCTGGGAGCAGCTCACTGTGCTTACACCCTTACGTGGGTTCCACAAGCAGTTTGAAGTTTCAAGCAGTTCACCAAACAAGACCTCGCATGTTGAGGATTATTTCAGTTGTCCAGTAGTCTAGCTTTCCTCAACTGATGTCCACAACAACTGCTTAAAACCCTTTTTGGGTATGCTCTCCAGTGCGAGAGGATAAACTAATTGCTCTCCAATGCGAGAAGGTAAACCAATTCTCCGACACCCATATGGGTCTACTCTCCAGTGTGAGAGGATAAACTAATTACTCTTCAGTGCGAGAGGGTAAACCAATTCCCCGACACCCATAAGGGTTTGCTCTCCAGTGCGAGAGGATAAACTAATTGCTCTCAAGTGCGAGAGGGTAAACCAATTCCCTGACACCCATATGGGTTTACTCTCCAGTGCGAGAGGATAAACTAATTGCTCTCCGTGCGAAAGGGTAAACCAATTCCCCAACACCCATATGAGTTTGCTCTCCATTGCAAGAGGATAAACTAATTGTTCTCTAGTGCGAGAGGGTAAACCAATTCCCCGACACCCACATAGGTTTTCTCTCAAGTGTGAGAGGATAAACTAATTGCTCTCCAGTGCGAGAGGGTAAATTAATTGCTCTCAAGTGCGAGATGGTAAACTCATTCCCTGACGCCCATCTGGGTAAGCTCTCCAGTGCGAGAAGGCCACATAGCTCAAAAGATTGAATGCTTGAAGATCAACCAGGCAGTAAATGGTCAGGGGGCAGTAGCCACTTTTACACTTAACACTTCGCTCATCCGACACTTCATCTTCAACAACTCAAATATTGGCAGTTACATCTTTGACTGTTCCATCTACGACAGTTGAGAAATCAAACTCAAGCAGTTTCCTCATTTTTGGCAAGCAGCGAAGACGTGGCAACTCAAACCGTTGCCCATGCCACACCACTTCCTCGGCCCATGCCGAGCCAATCTTTGGTTTCAATCAAGTCGAGCAACACAAGCAATGACCCCTGCCACACCAGCTTCTTGGCCCTTAACAGTCGACGTGTCGCACCACCCCGATGGCTGCCTCGTGGCAGCATCTCGTAAGAAGAAGACAAGAAGAATTAAGTTTTTCTTACATCGGTGCAGTACAAAGAAGACAGAGAAATTAACGGAAGACGATTATTTGCATGGGCAAGCAAAGAAGAGTGCTAGGGAATGGGGAACAAATATCCTCTAGCTTTCTCTCTTTCTTGCAGGGATAAATAATTGCCTTCCGAAGTTGATTAAAACCCTACTTAAGGTAGGCTTAAATAGGCTTTGAAGGCGATTTATTTCCCATTCCTAGAACAATCTAATTCCTAGTCCAAGAAAGAATCTGCATCAAAGTTGGAGATCTCTACACTTGCTGCTCTTTCTTGCAAGCAGCCCAGCAGATGTGAGGGTATTTGTGGAGTAAAAAATAATCAAAAGGCGACACGTGGATCTTTGGGTTAAAATGACAAAATTACCATCGAGGCATACCGGGATGCCTACGCACGAGCAGCGAGCAATCAACCCTCAACCAAGTTAAAAGTGCCTAAAATAGGCAATAATTCAAAACATATTTCATCCATCCTTATCAAATCTTCTCCACAATGTAACTCCCAAATCATTCCCCATTTATTATATTAATTAGCTAATCAATTAGGAAATTATTCTATTAATTAGTTAATTAATTGATTTATTATTCAATTATTCATAATTAAACACAAATCAAGAACCTAGCCCACAAAGTGAACCAAGTGGCCGGTCCTTTCTCTCCCAAAGGGGCCGACCACACCCTATAAAAACCCCATCATTCTCTCCAAAACTCAATTCCAATTCTCTTGCTAAATTCTCAAAATTCTTCAAACAATTTTTCTCTCTAAATTCTAACTTTGGCATCAGAGGTTCTT